CAACTTTGTGGGAGCAGTTTGGGGATGGCCCCTTCCTGTTCCAACATGACTGCACCAGTGCACAAAGCAAGATCCATAAAGACATGGATGAGCAAGTCTGGAGTGGAGGAACTTGACTGGCCTGCACTCAGTCCCGACCTTTGGGATGAATTAGAGATGAGACTGTGAGCCAGGCCTTCTCGTCCAACATCCATGCCTGAACTCACAAATGCGCTTCTGGAAGAATGGTCAAACATTCCTATAGACACACTCCTAAACCTTATGGACAGCCTTCCCAGAAGAGTTGAAGCTGTTATAGCTGCAAAGAGTGGGCCAACTCAATAATGACCCCTACGGACTAAGACTGGGATGCCATTAAAGTTCATGTGCGTGTAAAGGCAGTACTTTTGGCAATATAGTGTGTGTATATATCACACATATACACACACACACTATATTGCAAAAAGTATTGGGACACCTGCCTTTAGAATCACATGAACTTTGATGGCATCCCTGTCTTAGTCCGTAGGGTTCAATATTAAGTTGGCCCGCCCTTTGCAGTAATAACAGCTTCAACTCTTCTGGGAAGGCTGTCCACAAGGTTTAGGAGGGTGTCTATGGGTATGTTTGACCATTCTTCCAGAAGCGCATTTGTGAGGTCAGGCACTGATGTCAGATGAGAAAGCATGGCTCGCAGTCTTTGCTCTAATTCATCCCAAAGGTGTTCTATCGGGTTGAGCTCAGGACTGAGTGCAGGCTAGTCAAGTTCCTCCACCCCAAACTCGCTCATCCATGTCTTTATGGACCTTGCTTTGTGCACTGTGCACAACCATGTTGGAACAGGAAGGAGACATCCCCAAACTGTTCCCACAAAGTTGAGAGCATGAAATTGTCCAAAACATCTTGGTATGCTGACACCTTATGAGTTCCCTTCACTGGAACTAAGGGGCCAAGCCCAACCCCTGAAATTCAACCCCACACCATAATCCCCCCTCCACCAAACTTTACACTTGGCACAATGCAGTCAGGCAAGTACCATTCTCCTGGCAACAGCCAAACCCAGACAAAACCATTGAATTGCCAGACAGAGAAATGTGATTCATCACTCCAGAGTCCTGTGGCGGCGTGCTTCACACCATTGCATCTCATGTTCTGCATTGCAGCTGCTCGGCCATTGAAACCCATTCCATAAAGCTCTCTATGCACTGTTGTTGTGTAAATCTGAAGGTCACACGAAGTTTGGAAGTCTTGATCTATTGACTCTGCAGACAGTTGGCGATTTCTGCACACTGTGCGCTTCAGCATGCGCTGACCCTGCTCTGAGTTGCTGTTGTTCCCAGTTGCTTCCACTTTGTTATAATACCACTAACAGTTGACCGCAGGGGGCGGACTGACCATTTGGAAACTCGGGCACTGCCCGAGGGCCCGGGGTCAGTAGGGGGCCCCATGAGATGCCCCTGGTACCATTTTCATAGGCTTTTTTGAGTTTGGGCAAGGACATAGGGGCCCCATGATCCCCTATTGTCCGGGGGCCCCATGAGTTGTCAGTCCGCCCCTGGTATTTAACAGCAAGGAAATTTCACAGATGGACTTATTGCACAGGTGGCAACCTATCATGGTACCACACTTGAATTCACTGAGATCCTGAGAGAAACCCATTCTTTCACAAATGTTTGTAGAAGCAGTCTGCATGCCTAGGTGCTTAATTTTTTAACACCTGTGGCCATGGAGGTGCTTGGAACACCTGAATCCAATGATTTGGAGGGGTGTCCCAATACTTTTGGCAATATAGTGCAAATTCAAGGGGTGTTGAAGTCAAACCGGAACTTATAATTTTCAGGTATAAAAAGGGATGCTAGCACGGCGGTACTACACGCAGTAGTAAGTGGCAAGTGTGCTGCTCTATTACCGATAGGCGGCGCACATGTCTAGAGACTGCTAATCAAGGTGGCAGACAACAGTGTTAGTGCGTGCATGGAACAGTGTGTGGTGATGACGTTTCTTGTAAACGAAGGCGCAAAACCCATGGATATCTATAGAAGATTTCAAGTACAGTACGGTGATGAGACGTTCAGCTGCAGTAAGACATTTGAATGGTGTAAACGTTAAAAAGATGGCCATTCATTTGTCAGTGACGATCCCGGTAGTGGTGGATCCCAGCCCACAGCAGTCAGTTGATTTAACAATCAGCACGTAGAACGCCTAAGCCTGAATAATTGAAGCATAACCCGTCATGAAATTGCACAAGAGATGAATCTTTCTGTGGGACCGGTCAACGCAATGATGATGGAGTGAAGCAGGCTGTCCTAGGATGGTTCAGGCACACTGACAAATCTTTCCATGCCAAAGCTTTTCAGGCATTAGTTAAACAATGGGGTAAGTGTATAAATATGGAAAGGGAGTAAGTAAAAAAATAAATGCAGTTTCCACTCCTTGATATCTGTCCTTCTATTATATAAACTCAAAAGTCCCGGTACGACTTGAATGCAATTTGTATACAGCAGGTAAAATAAGTATTGAACACGTCACCATTTTTCTCAGTAAATATATTTCTAAAGGTGCTATTGACATGACATTTTCACAACATGTCACTAACAACCCACGCAATCCACACATACAAAGAAAGCAAAACAAATAAGTTCAGAAATTAAGTTATGTGTAATAAAATAGAATGACACAGGGAAAAAGTATTGAATACACTAAGTGAAATGTATTTAATACTTTGTACAACATCCTTTGTTGGTAATGACAGCTTCAAGACACCTCCTGTATGGAAAAACCAGTCACATGCATTGCTCAGGTTTGATTTTGGCCCATTCTTCCACATAGTCTTCAAATCTTGAAGGTTGCATGGGCCTTTTCTATGAACTCTTATCCTTAGTTCTTTCCATATATTTTCTATTGGATTCAAGTCAGGTGATTGGCTGGGCCATTCTAGCAGCTTTATTTTCTTTGAAACCAACTGAGAGTTTGCTTGGCTTTGTGTTTGGGATTGTCTTCCTGAAATGTCCACCATCATTTCATCTTCATCATCCTGGTAAATGGCAGCAGATTTTTATCTATTCTGTCTTGGTATATTTTTCCATTCATCCTTCCTTCAATGATATGAAGTTTGCCAGTACTGTATGGTAAAAGCTGGTACAGACATCCCCAAAAAGACTTGCAGCTGTAATTGCTGTGAAAGGTGGTTCTACAAAGTATTGACTCCGGGGGCTGAATACAAGATTTATTTGTAAAAAATGTTGAAAACCATTTCTCATTTTCCTTCCACTTGACAATTATGTGCCACTTTGTGTTGGTCTATCACATAAAATCCCAATAGAATACATTTACGGTTTTGGTTGTAACATGACAGAATGTGGAACATTTCAAGGGGTAAGAATACTTTCTCAAGGCACTGTATACAAGGTGTGTCTAAATAGTTTGGTGAATGGTATCAGAAAACAAACAGAACAGAAAGATACAAATTACCTTTATTTGTGTTCAAAATAATCGCCATCCTTCACAACACACTTTTGGCAACGTTCATAAAGCTCCTGGAAACTGTCAGCAAAGGCCTCTTTAGGAATCGATCACAGAACTGCTGTCACACATTCTTGGATTGCCATCATGTCCGTAAAATGTGCGCCTTTCATGACGCTCTTCAGGCAGGGAAACAGAAAGAAGTTTGCAGGCACCAAACCAGGGGAGTACAGTGGATGATTGAGAACAGGTAAGCTGAGCCAAGAATTGGCGCACAGGGATCGCACAGTGCACAGGCACAGCAGCAACATCCATTGTCCAGTCCTGTGCAACACTGGCTGAACACTGCAGATGCAACGTAACAACCATTTCAAAATTTCCTCGCAGAATGCGGTGTTCATGGTTTGAGCTGCAGGAATGAAGTCCTTATGGATGATGCCATTGTTGTTAAAGAAGTTGATCAACATGGTCTTCTTGACCTTGGACTTTTGCAGGTGACTTTTTTTGGTCGCGGGGAAGAGAGCAAATGTCATTCCATGGATTGCCACTTGGTTTCCGGATCGAACTGGTAGCACCAGGTCTCATCCCATGTGACGATGGTTTGCAAAAAGGATGAATCCTGGTCACACATGGTAATGAAATCTCCAGAGATTTCCATGCGTTTTGCTTTCTGTTCGTCTGTCAGCTTGTGTGGCACAAACCGGGGAACAGGTCTTCCGCTTACCCAAATCTTCACAGACAATGGAGCACACTGTGTCCTTGCTAATGCCCAATTCCTCCGCCATCATTTGCAGAGTCAGTCACTGATCTCGTGTCAGCATTTTTCACACTCGCTCAATCTTGTCTGGGCTTGTCGACGGCCAACCAAAATGTGGCTCATCCTCAGTCATTTTCTTCCCATCACAAAATCGTTTGAACCAGTTTTCTACTTGCAGCTTCCGTCCTGTACACTTGCACCAACAGTTTATGTGTCTCTGTCGCCCAATTTGTAGCAGAACATGATGTTCACTCGGTCCATTGCACTGTGACTCTACCCTACTGAGCACATTCGACTGACTGCAAAGGGTTCACCCTGACAGACACTTTTACTCCACACTGGATGGCACTTCTCAGCGTGTCCCTGGACAGCCATGTGCATGCACTCGAACCTGGCCCATGTTGACGTTGAGATATCGGACCATTCACCAAACCTTTTAGACACACCTCGTATGATTCTTGATTTTGCACACTGTAAAGCGGGACATAGACAAATTGAAATTTAGCCGTCACAGAAGGGATCAGCTGAATTTTGACCTGTGTGTGCCCCGCACTGTATGACAGACGTTGACATCTGTCAAATGGACATGCAAGAAAACTGTTGTCGATCAGCGACTGCAGTCATTCGGGTCTGAGTTCCTGCTGTCAGAATACAATTTCGGCGGGGGGGGGGGGGGGGGGGTAATGGGGAACTACTACTCATCTATGGTCAGCTCTATATCCAGATCTGATTATACAGAGCAAAAAAATATCAGTTGTTGGTGTATCCTGCTGTGCACTCAGAACTTCCCTTCTCTTTCTAGGGATGGGCATGCTGGCCAGCGTCTACACCGATGATGAGGAGAGAGGGAACGCCATGGGCATTGCATTGGGAGGACTAGCAATGGGCGTATTAGGTGAGTCTAATTATATCAGTGCGACTGTACTCTCCAGGCATGAAAACCCTGGATGACCCAAAAGTTTAGCAGATCTTAATCTCATCCTAGTGGCCCTATCCTCAGCCCCTGAATCTGAACACTGTGTCACAACAACCTGTGTATTCTCTGGTTCTAGTTTTGCCCCTCTTCCAATTTTAACCTCTCTCACCAACAATGGAGCAGGAGAGGGACTGAGGGAAGACTGCTGATTCTGGATGCAATGAATTACAGAAGGCAGTAATCTCTATATGGGGTGAAAAGGATTCTAATTTCCATAACTTTGTGTAACAAATCAGGCAGGTAATGGGGTGAATTTTATATCTTGTCATAGGGCTTTCATTACACTGAAGTGACATTTTAGATTTTTAATTGTTCTAGAATAGGGAGGCTGCGAACACTAACCAGAAATCAAAAGCATCTAGAACACTGAGCAATAATGTTTAGAAAGAGAACTGATTTAAGAAAAGGAAGAAAGAAGGAAACAAAGAACTCTCAGTGGAGTGGGTCTGCGTGTGTATACTGCTTTTCCACTTCCAGAATGGTGTTGGGTGGAGTACTTTTAGAATTTTGGAAAGGAACTTCATAAAGCTGAACTCCAGGCAGACATAAAAGACATTAAAGTGGAGGTCCACCCAAAAGGGGAAGTTCCAATTTAAAAAACATATAGCAGAATACATTTTGGCCTAGATTTATGACAAAATGTAATTTTTTTACAGGACATTTTTTTATAGCAAAAAGTCAAAAATATTGTTTTTTTTAAATTCTCAAAATTGTCAGTCTTTTTTTGCTTATAGAGCAAAAAATAAAACATGCACAGGCGATCAAATACCACCGAAAGAAAGCTCCATTTGTGAGGAAAAAAAGGACATAAATTTCATTTGGGAGCAGCGTTGCATGACCCCGCAATTGTCAGTTAAAATAACGCAGTGCCGTATCGCAAAAAATGTCCTGGTCAGGAAGCGGGTAAATCCTCTGGAGGGCAAGTGGTTAATAAATACAGCTCTGTATATATTATAACTTTTTTTCTTTAACCCAACTACTATAAATACCTGATTTTGTTTACTATCAGTCTCTTCCAATCCCTGTACAGCAGAACTCAGACTAGGAGAGCGAGAGGCAGAACTGGAAGCCAAATCAGGTTTGCTGCATGCAAATGTGAATACATGACAAGTGCTGTATCCTGTAGTCTGGAAGGCAGAGTAATTGTAGGGATTTATTAACAAGTTTAGGCATCCATAATACAGAATGTGAAACTAAAGAAACTGTGCATTAGTGTTCTATAAATAAATACTCTAATAATAGCAGCAAAACACAAACTAGAAAATACCCCACTTACTGCATACAAATAATAATAAACTGGGTTGTGCTGAAATTTGACAATAAATACAGTAATAAAAATGATTAGAAAACAAAAGAGAAAAAATCCAAAAGCAGTCCCATCCAGAGTGTACAGGATAATGAGACCCCAATTCTTCTCCAATTTTTGTATCAAAAGTGCCACCAACGGCATTCGAACTCCCAAGGTGGTATAAGGATGGTCTCTTACCTACTTCCCATGACCCTCGTAAAATAAAGAGTGGTCCTAAAGCACTTATATGATATGTCAGTGCTTCCAAGTCACCTTCAGTAACTGACTTAATGGAACCCAGGAACACTGTCACTCATACATTTGTACACCAATTTCCACCATATCCATTATGAAAAATAAAACAAGAGAAAGCCTTTCCATAGTGTAAAACTTCTTCATAATGGATATGGTGAAAATCAGTCTACATACCGTATGTATGAAGGTGACTTTTTTTTTTTTTTTTCTCTCACTGCTTAAACACTTTGTGTTGGAGTGTGTTTGACACATAGTGCACAAATACATTTTTGTTATAAGATAATACACTATTTGCGATTTATGTTTTTTTGAGGTTTGCTTCACTGGATTATCGTATTGGAAATTTTATATAAAATATCATAAGGAGAAGTGATTGAAGTGAAGAAAAAGTCTTTTGGACTTGTTGTATATAGGAGGACACTTTTTGGACACTAAGTTGATTTATTTATTTATTTTGTTTTATTTTAATTTATTGTACTGTAATTTTCATTTATTTATTTTTTGCACTTTATGTTGGTTCTTGAAAGATGTGCATTTGGGGTAATTAAGATTACATATTTAATTTTGGTGGAGAAGAGGTATAGAGGGGAAAGGAAAAGAATTCTTTGCTGATTATATCACTTTCAATGGTGAAAGTAGTTTATCTTTTCTGGGTAGGGCATTGTTTAACTTTTGAGGGTGTTCATATTTATTCACACAGTGCTTCTAAGTCACCTTCAGTAACCGACTTAATGGAACCCAGGAATGCTGTCACTCATACATTTGTACACCAATTTCCACCATATCCATTATGAAAAATAAAACAAGAGAAAGCCTTTTCATAGTGTAAAACGTCTTCATAATGGATATGGTGAAGATCAGTCTACATATGTATGAAGGTGACTTGGACGCCGCAAGATATCATATCAAGTGCTTTAAGACCACTTTTTTAGTCTAGCCCAGCCCCAGCATCTCTTTTACTGGGTTATTACATCGGGGGGGGGGGGGGGCACTGTGATTGGCAGTCACAGTGGTCACATGATCTGGAGCGGTCTCCTGATCATTACTAAGAACCAGGACCTGTCTTTTGACAGCTTAGTCACTGTGCTGGGAACATGTTGATCCATTGATGCATATTTGAGGTGTGCAGGCATTAAAGCCCACCTTCTTTGCCACCACACATATATGTTATGTTGGTGGCAAGAGGTTAAGCCTATCTAAAACCCAAGAACAAAAATGTCACATATTGCAGCTTTCCAGTCAATAGACGTGGTGGCTGCATTTGTGTTCTTTTTCATGCATGCCAAGCACATCCATATAAGTCGATGGTACCCACCCCACAACTGTGTGCCAAACGTGGTTGCAGCACAGTATTTTAATGTAAAATCCCCCTTGGGATCCAAAACAAAACGTTTTGCATCCTGAACACCTGTAAAGTAGCTGTAACCCCCCCTCTGAAAAGTCATCTACCATGGAATGCTTTTCAGAGGTGTGTTAAGAACCACCTCATGTGTGAATGAGGCCATATTCAATTTTGTGACTCTCACTTTGCTGATGCTCCTTATTCCCACTTGCTGCAGATTGGATGTGAATTCTTATATCTGTCTACGACTCTTGTGCTTTCCTCTCAGCACCTGAGACTCAACTTCATTATTGGGATTTATTGCAGGATGACGGTGGAATATAGATCAGCAGGTTTCTCTTGCATGTTTATTCTCCTGACTAATGACGGATTTACTAAAGGCGTCTCCTCTCTAGGGAGTATTCATCCAATCCAGACATTTATTGTCAGATTAGGGAGTATTCATTTGTCTGTAGGCCCTAACCGTGGTCAGGATCCCCTGCTTGAGCCTCCTAGAGGGCAATCACTTGAACTGCAATTTTTTTTGGCTGATGGGTATTATTTTCCCTTTTGAGAGGCTATCACTGGGGAATATGCACTAAGTGCTCCACTTCCCTTCTGTATAAGCACACACGTTCAACAGATTCTGATCTTTTGGTAGAAGGATTTTTAGTGATTGAATCATGAATGTCTGCAGGAACGTTAGGCAAATTCTTTGAACCCCTGACCATCACATTTTTACATGGTTGTTGGACGTGCCATCAATATAAGGTTGGTTCCCCCTTTGTGGTATCAGTCTCCACTCTTCTGGGAAGGCTTTCTACCAGATTTAGAGGGTGCCTATGGGAATTTGTGCCCATTTGTAAGGTCAGGTACCAATGTTGGATTAAAAGATCTGGCTAACAATAGGAGTTCCAAATCATCCCAAAGGTGTTCAGTAGGGTTGAGGTCAGGGCTTTGTGCAGGTCACTTGAATTCCTCCACACCAAACTGGTCAAACCATGTCTTTATGGAGCCTTGTCACATATACAGGAGAATTGTCATGGTGGAACAGAAAAGGGACTTCACGTACTTTACCATAAGGTTGGAAGCCCACACCTGTCTAAAATGTCTTTGTATGTTGTAGCAGTAACAGTACCCTTCACTGGATACACCTGAACTCAGTTGGATGGGGGGGTTCAAATGCTTTTGGCCATATACACGCACCGGCCACTTTATTAGGTACACCTGTTCAATTGCTTGGTAACACAAATTGCTAATCAGCCAATCACATGGCAGCAACTCAATGCATTTAGGCATCTAGACATGGAGAAGACGACTTGCTGAAGTTCAAACCGAGCATCACAATGGGTAAGAAAAGGGATTTAAGTGACTTTGAACGTGGCATGGTTTTTGGTGCCAGGCAGGCTGGTCTAAGTATTTCAAAAACTGCTGATCTACTGGGATTTTCACGCACCACCAACTCACCGACCAACCACAGTCTCACCAAAATTGGACAATAGAAGATGGGAAAAATGTGCCCTGGTCTGATGAGTCTCAATTTCCCTAGACGTGATTGTGCCTGAAAATCCAAGTAGATCAGCAGTTCTTGAAATAATCAAACCAGCCTGTCTGGCACCAACAACCATGCCACGTTCAAAGTCACTTAAATCCCCTTTCTTCCCCATTCTGATGCTCAATTTGAACTTCTGCAAGTCATCTTCACCACGTCTAGATGCCTAAATGCATTGAGTTGCTGCCATGTGATTGGCTGATTAGTAACTTGTGTTACCAAGCAATTGAACAGGTGTACCTAATAAAGTGACTGGCGAGTGTAGTGTTGCTTAATACGGAGAAGGACCATTAGCACATCAGAGGTGAATGTTGGATCTCTGACACCTCTAAATGGTGGTAGATAATACAGTCAGAAATCTGTAATCCCTTGATTCATCCCTCCAGCTCTGATTAAAGACCATTTCCAAGTAATCATTGAGTCCAATCAGCGAACAGCTTATTTCTTCCAGCAAACACAGCAGCAAGTTCACTTGGTTTACCTTAATCAAAGCTCCATGAAATGCACTTCATCCAGAATCCAGAGATCTCCTGTTCTGAGGAGGTTCGACTTTCTGTATTGGTCCTCTGTGACTCTCTCTCTCTGCTCCATGTGTCGATAAGAGATTCTAACTTCTAATGCAGAAATGTGATTGATAACTGTGAAAAACATATCTGTATACTTTGATGCATCAAACTTTTCATGTATGAGAGATGACACAGAGAACAAAAGGGGGGATGTCCGGGAACTCTTCCCCTCACAAGCTGGGGTCCCAAGATCACAGATATGTCATTAGGGTGGTATGCTACAGGAATGCAGGGATGGGAGACTACAGCCAGAGCAGGTTGTGCATCAGGGTTTAAAGCTTAACTCCAGGAACCATCATATTGTTCATTTTATTTTGGATATTATCAGTTCATCTGTGCCTAGCCCAGCCGTTTAACAAGTCCATGCTGGATTTCTTATATGGCCTCAAAAGATTGCTGCACTCCCTTCCCCACTTTCTGTGGACATCAACTCTGCAGGCATGATAAACACCAGAGCTGGGTGTCCTGTCTCCTGTCCCATTTACATTTGGCCATTCACAGAACACACAGCCACAGCAGTTCTGTGAATGGTCAAAAGTAGACAGGGGCTGGACCATGACACCAGCTCTGGTGTCTATCATCTATGCAGAGCGGATGTCAGCAGGGGGTGGAAGTATAGTGGGAACTGCAATATCTAGGGAAATTGTTCTTTTTAAACTATATGATGAAAGACGACACAGAATTACTAAACAGATATTGTTTTCTCTAAGGCTGATATAGAGGGGTCCGGGGGTCGCTCAATAATTTTCAGCTTTGAAAAGAGTATTTTCTTTAAGACAAAGCCTTTTGTCCTCCAGGACTCAGATTCTTGTTTTGATCTCTATATATTGGGATTAACAAGGAGTGTTACTGAGTAACTGAAATGGCAGCAGAGCGGTTACATGATAAATATATATTTCTGGATGAGAAGTTGCATTGTCTGTGGAAACTCTTCAAGAACCGGGGGACTATAGATGGGATTGTTACAGATGAATAGATTGCAGAAAAGATTAGCCAATTATTACATAACATGCCCCATAAATAGAGATGCCAGATGATAATCCCACCAAAAATGGACACTGAGGAAGAACATCTTCCATTATGGGTGGAAAAAAGCAGATAAGGGTCATCATATCCACAAAGGACAATTTTCACACATCCAACAGAATTCAGCCATTAATAAGATAATTGGCATAGCAGCATACCTGTATAAAAAAAATAGAATTTTTCATCTGGCAGCTTATTATGCTCCAGAGTTAAAAGCAGCATTTGAGAGTCTCATGGCCCACAGACATACATTTATTAAGATTACAGTATCCATGTCTAGATGCCTCTTCTGGAAGTAAGATAGGTCATGGGTCAGATTGTTTGCTAATGTAAACCACCTTCTGCTTCGGTGGATAGTGTAACATCTCCTGTGATCTCAGAAAGGGCCAAACCAACTGGCCTGAAAGGTCAACAGACCCAACCTACTCTGACCGGGCGTCCGCAGGCATGCATAGGATCTTTCTGGCCTGTTTTTTTCAGCTTTAGAACTGACCTGGTCATGGACCAGTCATTTGATAATGTAGGTAAATCCAGTCTATCTACTTTGCACTGATGACAATTTTACTCGGCAGTGGGACCACCTTTTGGAAGCATCTTGTACGAATTTGTGGGGAAGACGGCTCCATTCCTTGTGCTGGCAATTCTGGTTCTCTTTGATGGTGGTAAGTCCAATTGTTGCTGTATGGTGGAACAAACATTCCTTACCCTTTTATCCTAGAGGAACCCTTGAAATCAATCAGGGAACATCTGCTCAAATAAAATCATTGGTCAGTGGGAATAATGCCCCTTACATTGATGGTCTGTGGGAAGAATGCCTCCCCTTAATTGGTGATCAGTGGGAAGAATGCCCCTAAAATTGGTGGTCAGTAGGAAGAATGCCCTTCTTAAATAGGTGGTCAATGGGAAGAGTACTCCACACAGTGGTGGTCAGTGGGAAGAATGCCTCCTCCCCTCTTTACAGTGATAATCAGCATACCACTCTTCCAGCTAAGAAGATAATTGGTGTCATGCCACTGGCTCTGCCATGTGGCATTGGACCCAGAATTATGCAGGCAACTTTAGAAGAGAGGTCAATCAGCCCCAGCTCAAGAAACCCCAAGCAACCTCTGAAGGAACCCTAGGATTCCACAGAACTCCGTTTGAGAATGCCTATTTTAGAAGGTAATCCATATCATTGTATGTAAATGAGTCAGATGTTTTCTCCTTGCAGCTCTCCAGCTCTTCATCCTCCAACCATCCAGAGTTCAGCCAGAGGTGAGTTCACCAACATAATTACCAGAGCAGGACCATGTATAAACAGCAAGATTTGATTTTTTTTTTTTTTTTACCTTTTTTTTTTTCTTTCTTTCAGAGCCAGACTGGGACCTCTCTGGTCACACTCCTAAGGGACCCCTACATCCTGATTGCAGCAGGTAGGTCTTTGTTGTGGTGGGGGGTCAATCAGGATGTCATATTTGTGAACTGTAGACAGCGACACTTCCACCCCTCCCAGATCATGTATAAAGTACTCTTTCCCCATGTGCAGCTTCCAGATCTACACCAAGTGATTTCAGTTGAGAATCCTAGCAGAAGGAGGTGGAGTGGGGGATTGTGGGAGATTTCCATAATGTCACTGTTCATTTAATCAATAGCAGTCTATGGTGTTCCTCAAAGAACTTTCCATGCCATGACTGGTACCTCACTCACCTCCACTTATAGTGACTCCTAGAGGGACACCCTCTAATATTGATATTGCAGTTAGATACAGATGATGGCTGGTCTCTTTATTGGTAGCCCTGCTTTATCCACCCAGCCAAGGATTATCACTTCCAGTGGTGGAAAGCTGAGTATCATTCTGCAATCTCCATAATGTTACAGTCGCAAGAAAAAGTATGTGAACCCCTTGGGATTAGGTTGCGTTTTGCATGAATTGGGCATAAAATGTGCTCTGAATGTCATCTAAGTCACAACAATAGAAGAACACAGTCTGCTGAACATAATACTACACAAACATTAGATGTTGCCATTGGTTAATTGTACATAACATGTAAACATTCACAGTGCAGGGAGGAAAAAGTATGTGAACCTTTGGACTTAATAACTGGTTGACCCTCTTTTGGCAGCAATAACCTCAACTAAACGTTTCCTGTAGTTGCAGATCAGACCTGCACAACGATCTGGAGTAATTTTGGACCACTCCTCTTCACAAAACTGCTTCAGTGTAGCAATATTCTTGGGATGTCTGGTGTGAATCGCTCTCTTAAGGTCATGCCACAGCATTTCAACAGAGCCGGTCGTACGTTTTCCTGCAAACGTCTTGATAAACTCTGGAATTCATTTTCCCATCAATGACAACAATCCGTCCAGGCCCTGAGGCAGCAAAGCAGCCCCAAACCATGATGCCCCCTCCGCCATGTTTTACAGTGGGGATGAGGTTTTGATGTTGGTGTGCTGTGCCTTTTTTTCTCCACACATAGTGTTGTGTGTTCTTCCCAAACAACTCCATCTTGGTTTCATCTGTCCACAGTATATTTTGCCAGTAGTGCTGTGGAACATCCAGGTGCTCTTTTGCAAACCTCAAACGTGCTGCAATATTCTTTTTGGACAGCAATGGCTTCCTCCGTGGTGTCCTCCCATGTACTCCATTCTTGTTTAATGTTTTCCTTATTGTAGATGTGTCAACAAAAATGTTAGCATGTGCCAGAGATTTCTGTAGGTCTTTAGCTGCACTCTGGGATTCTTCTTTACCTCATGCAGCATTCTGCGCTGTGCTCTTGCAGTCATTTTTACAGGACGACCACGCCTAGGGAGAGTAGCAACAGTGCTAAACTTTCTCCATTTGTAGACAGTCTGTCTTACCGTGGACACATGAACATCAAGGCTTTTGGAGATACTTTTGTAACCCTTTCTAGCTTCATGCAAGTCAACAATTCTTGATCATAGGTCTTCTGAGAGCTCTTTTCTGCGAGGCATGGTTCACATCAGACAGTGCTTCTTGAAACCAGTAAACCCAAAAGAGGTGTGTGTTTTTTAAGGGCAGGACAGCTGTCAGCAACACATCCAATAGCATCACACTGATTGGAGTCAAGGTTGGCTCACTCCTGGCTCCAATTAGCTCTGGGAGAAGTCATTAAGCTAGGGCCTCACATACTTTTTCCTTCCTGCACTGTGAATGTTTACATGTTATGTGCAATTAAACCATGGCAACATCTAATGTTTGTGTGGTATTATGTTCAGCAGACTGTGTTCTTCTATTGTTGTGACTTAGATGACGTTCAGAGCACATTTTAAGCCCAATTCATGCAAAAACTCCACGTAATTCCCAAGGGGTTCATATACTTTTTCTTGCAACTGTATATTAAAATATAATATATACATCAGGCACTGTGGGTCCTCTAGTAATGTACCTGAAAGGTGGAGGGATATTTAAAGCCATCAAACAGCCATAACTAAAAGGTTTTGGTGGGATAACCCTTGAAGCATTATCAGAGGTATTGATATTATTCCTCTGTATATGCTGAGGACTTTAAGGTGGCTGCAGTCAATAATGGGGTATAATAATATCAGACAATGCCATGGGACAGAAGGTGTTGAGGTGGCTTCTAATATCCGTGATATATGAATAAGATGTTTTATCTTTCCACGCTGCCATGACAACATTATGGTAGAGATTGCTTAGATACGACATGAAGGAAATTGAAAAGACCTTGGTTGTACTAGTAGCCATGGAGTCACTAAGAAATACTTAGAAAAGTCTCCTAAAAATCATCTTTAGCAGATAAAAACACAGACATTCACACTTATACAGCACATGACTAAGCAAGCCATGGATGATAGTGTTGATGGGGGAATCCCTCTCATAATGTTATTGTGTTCTGCCAGCAGAGAGCCTTCCTTGCAGACAGAACACAATGATCACTACTGGCAGCTATAGCGACTGGCAGTAATAATATGCAAAAGATCCGACAGGCTGGTTGTACTGAAATGGATTGGTTGACTTCCGTACAACCAGCCTTCCCATAGATGGATCCAATCTCAGCAGGTCCCTGCTGAACCGTCCAAGATTCAATCTATTGATGACCAGCTTAAATGCCTATGTAGTCAGTGGAGAACAAGAGAGAATCAAACAAGAAATTCCTCCCCTCTCCCATCAATTTGCTGAGGTGTATCCTTTGATCTAGAAGTATCCATAGTGACTGTCACCTGATTGGCTGGACTGATCAGAGTCAGATATGGTACTAAGGGAACAACGGATGGAGGTAACGGGATAAAAGGTAGATCGGGGATATATATCTAAGTGACATATTGGTATGGATGTCACTCCACTTCCTCAAAATAAATCTTTCTAAAACTGAGCTCATACTATTCCCTCCACCCCGTGCCCCCCCCCAACTTCTCCATCAAGATCAATAATACAACCATCAGTGCCAGGGTACTAGGTGTAGTTCTAGATTCCCATCTGTCCTTTCAGCCCCAAATCCAATCACTGTCCAAATCTTGTAGACTTCATCTCCACAACATCTCCAAGATACGCCCGTTCTTAACCTCGGAAACTACTAAGCAACTCATTCACTCCCTTGTTATATCTCGCCTTGACTATTGTAACTCCCTCCTCATTGGCCTACCGAGTCGCAGGCTATCCCCTCTTCAGTCTATCATGAATGCTGCCGCCAGATCCATCCACCTTACTAACCGTTCCATATCTGCCACCCCTCTCTGCCAATCCCTCCACTGGCTTCCGATTGCCCAACGAATAAAATTTAGAACATTAACAATAACATTTAAAGCCATTTATAACTCTGCCCCAAATTACATCACCAATCTTGTCTCCAAATATCACCCAAACCGTCCTCTCCGCTCCTCCCACAACCTTCTGCTCTCTAGCTCCCTTGTCTCCTCCCCCATGCTCATCTCCAGGACTTCTCCAGAGCCTCCCCCATCTTCTGAAACTCTCTACCCCAATCAAACTATCGCCTACTCTGCCAACTTTTAGGAGATTTCTGAAAACATCTCTCTTCAGGGAACCCTATTTTGCCTTCAACTAATAACAGAATCTTCTATTCCTCCTATCAGTTCATCCCCCGCAGTTATTACCTTTTGTACCACCAGTCCCTCCCTCTTAGATTGTAAGCTCCAAGGAGCAGGGCCCTCCTAACACATTTGTATTGAACTGTATTGTCTCCCTTTATATTGTAAAGCACCGAGTAAACTGTTGGCGCTATATAAATCCTGTATCATAATAATAATAATAATATTATCGGGGTCCAGAAGGTGCACAAGGCTTACAAAGGACTCAGACAGCCCTGGCACAACAGATGGAATTTGGCAATTTTTGGGGTGAGTTTTTTTTTTTTTTTTTATTTCCATTAATTTATTTTTCAGGCTCCATCTGTTTTGCCAATATGGCCATCGCTATGCTGGAACCAGCACTGCCCATCTGGATGATGGAGACAATGTGTTCCCGGAAATGGCAGCTAGGTAAGATGTTTTTCCTGTTCTGTTACAAATTCTTATAATAAGATTCATCAGTAATGGAAGAGGATGCCTCGGTCTCTAGAGGTCCTCTAATTCTGATGGTAATTAAGAATTCTCCTAATTAAGAATTATTTTACATAATGGGCTGTCATCAACTTGTTGGTCTGATCGTGAATGGCAGATTGGGGGACCCAGTCAGATTTCCTGCAGGAGGACATATACTGTACGTTATAAGCATCCAATCATGTGCTGCAAGAAGAGCTCTTCATGGTGTGCCTGAGGCTGTAGCCGAATTAACCAGTCACCCTAAGTCAAAATTGGTCCTGACGGAGGCCACAGTTTTGCTCTAGCTATAAGAATGGCGTTCAATATTCAGATATTTTTTATGTAAAGGATTCTTGTAGCATTTTAGGCCTTCGAGAAAAACATTTCCTAGAAATTCTATATGATGTACAGATGAACAGAGTGTACTGACAGATATATATATATATATATATATATATATATACACACATACACACACACACACACACACACATAGACACACACACATGGACAGCAGCACACTGTGCAGATGGAAGCTGACAAAAGACTATTGTCAGAGTTGAGCGCACACCGAGTTTGCTGTCTCGGGAAGAATATGAGATGGAGAGAGTGTGTGCAAAAATCAGCCTTCTTGTGTGCCCCATCAGTGAAAATAGAACCTCTATCTATTCCCCCCCCCCCTCCCCATCTACAGGGCTAGTGTTTTTGACCACCCTCTATCACCATTTGAGAGAGCGGGGTCTCAAATCTCCATCTGACCCTCCATGACAGCAGAAACTTTGACCTCCCTCTGTCCCCATCTGTGAGTGTATGACTTCCAACCGCCTCCATCTACCCTCATCCACGAGCACAGGGCCTTCTAGTTCCCTTTAACTCAGTTTGTGTGCATGTGGTCTCCAGTCTCGTTCTACCCCCCTCCATGAGAGCTGGGCCTCCAACCTCCCTCCCATCCAAGACAGCTGAGCCTCTGACCTCCCTCTATCCCCATCTGTGACATTTTGGCCTCCAACCTCCCTCTACCCCCCATCCACGAGAGTAGGGCCTCCAACCTCCCTCTACCCCCATCTCTGGGATTGTGGTCTCCAACCTTCCATGACAGCAGGGCCTCTAACCTCCCTCCACCCCGCTCTGCAAGAGAGCAGGGCCTCCAAATTCCCTTTTACCCCATCTCTAAGGGTAGGGTTGCAAAACAGAAAGAACTTGGGCATTCTAAAGAATTACTTAGATTTGCCCATCTACAAAGATTGTTTTATCACATAGTAAAGTTTATCAAAATGTATACTTTTACATTTGGATGGAATAGAGAATGGTTAGATACCTTGTCATTTTTTTTTGTCCCATTCAAAGAGATTTCCCTTCACTTCCTGTCATGTAGACAATACAGGAAATTAGAAAAAAAAAACTCTGCAAAAATGAGGGAAATCTCCTCTTAGACAGTTGTTACTGGAACAGATGTCCCCATTGGAAGATTTACCCCCTATTCCTGCTCTAGTGACTCAAACTCTGGTAACTCAACTCATCAAACTCTGGTAACTCAAAATGTTGTTCACCAGGAAAAATAAAGTGAATTGCCCCAATGGAAACACAGATAGCAATACACCCTTCTGCACTCCTTTCCAAAACTAAAATAAAATATTTTGGCTTTAGATACACTCTAAACAGAGCTCCTAACATATTTTCATCTCTGTAGTGAAATCTGAGTATCAGCTCCATGTCCTCAGCTGTAATTGGTGCAGACAGAACTGTCCCGGGGTTGGTGGTTGGTACTGCGCCTGCTCCACCAGTCACTCAATAAACATCAGTGAGATGGATGGTCGGTGTGCCGTAATAAAGCTCAGACTCAGCTGCTGCAGGGTGATGGTGCTGCCGATAAGACATGGCGGATATGAAACCTTTTCATGAATGTTTCATCAATGCTGATAAGAAGGATTTTCTCCCCCGCAGGTGTGGCCTTCCTCCCGGCCAGCGTCTCTTATCTCATCGGAACCAATATCTTCGGGCCTCTGGCTCATAAGATGGGCAGGTGAGTCTTTTCATTAGCCGCATATTGCTGTGTGCTACAGATCTAATCAGTGGTATGACAGGGAACATTCACGGTGCAGCAGGAGAGCGGTTTCTGTCCGGCCATCAGTCTCGTCATTCCTTCTCTTGATGCAGGGGAATGCTGCATGGCACACTCTGGGGCAGGAAGGGTTAATGTGAAGACGGAAGCTGCGGTCGATGTCCGCTCAGCACGAGGCCGCTCATATAATCACAGTGTTATTGATCGGAGACACAAAATAAACAATCGGACATTTGACGAGTAAAGTGCTTGTAATTCGGAACGTTTCACAGCCGGAGCTGATCGATAAATCACAAATGACACCCATAATGGGCGCCGTCTGCAGGAACATGGTTACTAAGTGCTGCTAACAGGCCAGATTGTATGGCACGGCACAGACAGCTCTTCCCCATTATAAAATATACTGCACATTCAGGGTCCATTTTTATATTTTTTTGTAACTTCAACAAGTTTTATTTGTAAGGGCCAGTTCACACCGCCGACACTCTAAATGCTCCAGTTTTGCCTGTGGGCAGCAGTCAGTTTTGGGCGGTGTGATGCATGCTTTAGTGCATCACACACTTTCCTTTTTATTTTATTTAACTTTATTTGAATTGCACAAAGTGACACTTCATTCACCGTCAATACTTTATTTGCAGTATCCCATGTCCACTGTGTAGGGAACTACTGACATAGCCATGAACGCAATCCATCTCCCTTCCATGCCGGAGTTCCAGCTGGCTGTGTGCTCATCAATGTGTAATATGTGTCTGTCTCGTGTCTCTGCAGGTGGCTGTGCGCCTTCATCGGGATGATAATGGTGGGAATAAGCATCATCTGTGTAAGTAAAATGCTGAATATTCCTACTTACAGTTTCCCAGTCCAAGCCCCTCATCACACTTCAGCAGCCTCTCTGTACAATGAACTCCTTCCAGATATTCAGGAAACCACAAGAAACCGATTCTAACATAAGGCCTAGAATCAGAGATTTTCTGCTGTGCAAATTTTGAATATAAGTGAGGCAGCATTGCAACACAATACAGAGGGGTGCAAAAGTCATTAGTGTTTAATGCTTGCAGGTCTAGAGCTGTTACTATATCCCAAAATGTCCAACCAGACTGGCCTAGTGTCAGCTATAAATTGGAATGACCAAAACTGAGATTTTGTTTTATTTCACTGAAATTTTGCATGTTTGGAAAAATACATTGGAGTCAATCAGGAAGGTGAAAATAAAGGAGGAACCCCAGGAATAAATTGGTTGTAAAGGATAAAAGGTATTTTACCTTGATGCATTCCCTGCATTAAGGTATATAAACCCTTTAGATTCAGCTTCCCTCCTGCACCCCTAAATACTTTCCTAAACCCAAACTTGATGCAGTGCTTTGACCAAGAGCAGCTGAGCTGCTCTCTCTCTCCTTCCTTACTGAACTCAGTGAGAGCACTGGGAGCCATTGGCTCCTGCTGTTGCTGTCAATCAAATCCAGTGATGAGGGAGCAGGGGATGGGGCAAGGCTGCACTGTGTGTATCAATAGATGCACACAGTACGTCTCAGGATCAGGCCCGCACGAGTGCACCCCTACTAAGCAGCTTGCTAGAGGGGTTCTCAGAAGGCAGGAGGAGCCAGGAGAACAAGTGGGAGACCCCAGTAGAGGAGGATCAGTGCTGCTCTGTGCAATACCATTACACAAAACAGGTATTACATACTTGTTATTCCAAAAAAAAAAAAAAAAAAAAAAAAAAGATCCTTTACAATTATTTTAGTAAACATACCAAAATCCTTAAGCCTCATCCCACCCCCCCCGAATGATGTGTCAGCATCACTTGGTCTCAGGGCGTACTGTGAGCCCTGCCTGCATTTTGGCACACACACCAGTGAAATGACATGGTTGCTATTCTGCTCAATGAGAACTGCCAGCACTGGACTGAGGAGTAAGTCAGGGACAGATTTGGAGTGTGGAGAATGTAATTAAAAATTGGTAATATATATGTGTGTGTGTGTGTGTGTGTGTGTGTGTGTGCTTTTTTTAAAGGGAGGGAGCCATAGAATGAACAATTGACTTAAAGTTCTACTTTAATTGTTCTTTTGGCGTTTTTTAATGTGCTAGTCCAGTCCACAACCCAACTTCATTGATGCTATGGTGATGTTGGAACTACATTTGCTGGACCAACCATTAGCCTGACACCAGGGCGATGTCTGGTATACATGAGTACCATACTGATCCACAGCCCCGTTCCTGGGTAATGTCTGGTATACATGTTCCCCAGAACATGCCAAAGTCCAACTCTAGGGTAATGTCTGGAATACATTTGCCACAGCCCAGCTCTAGGGTGATGTCTGGTATACATGAGGGCCATACTGATCGAAAGCCTAGATGTCTGGTAAACATGAGCACCATACCCAGCACAGGCAAAAGCCCAACTCTTGGGTGAAGTCTGGAATACATTTGCCAGACCAAACCACAGCCCAGTACCAGGGTGATGTCCAGTATACATGACCACTAGACAGATCCACAGTCAAACTCCAGGTCTGCCAGACTAATCCGTCACCCAACTCCAGGGTGATATCTTCTACACATATCTGCTGGATCAATTCACAGCCTTATTCCAGGGTGATGTCGGGTATACATGACCACCATACCAAAAAACTACCCAGTTCCAGGTGATGTCTTGTATACAGGTTTGGCTGACCAGTCCACCAGCCAACTCCAGGGTAATGTCTAGTATACATGTTTTTGCTGAACTGGACCATAGCTCAGCTCTAGGGTGATGTCTCAAAGACATGAGTACCAGACCATTCATAGCCCAGCTTCAGGTTGATGTCTGGTATACATGCCCAGCAGACTGATCCACAGCCTGGCCCAACTACTAACTGAATTGTATGTTCACATTCAGGTGCCATTTGCCAAGAACATCTATGGATTAATAGCACCAAATTTTGGCGTTGGATTCGCGATCGGTAAGACCTGAAAAAAACAAGGGGCCAATGGGGTATTTACCTTTATATAAGAAACCTCAGATATTTCTTACCATGTAAGCACCATAAACTTAATAGATTTCCTACCATATGCATGACCAAACTGTACAAAGATTTATTCAATATAATTTCCCCTGCTGGAGGCAGTATCTAAAGGATGTCAAAGTGTCTAAGGATCTGATTCCCACTGATTCCCTAATTTCTCTCCATACAAACCAGTAATGATGATTATACCTTCCCATCATCGTTTATCTATAGATCCTTTGTCATGACAGAGGGGTTCTCCTAAAATGGGAATTTTTGACTTTGTTAGGTGCCAAAACTGCATCCACACACCCAGACAGGAAACACATCAGCAGGCCGTCCCATCAGGGGGAAGGGCTGCCTGAAACATTACATCCCATAATAGTTGTCTCCCAAGCAAAGACACACAATAGAACAATGGGATGCAGCCACATGGCAGAGAACAATGAACAACCCCCACACCAATATTAGAACATTTCACCCTGTACCCCTAACAGGCACAGTGTGACTTACACATAATAGGGAGCTGGGGAGCGGACACAGGGGTCTCCCCACCCCTCAAAAGGGGGCTGTGTTCCATGGGCCTCCCACCCAAAGTCACTCCCGTCACACAGTCCATTACAAAAGTTGGCATGTGCAACAGGAGATGGTATTTACAGCAGCTACATGTATTGTGATACAGGGGGAGTGGGAAGGGTATTGTGAGTTAGTTCACTTTTAAATTTTTTGTTTTGTGAATAGGTGAATTTAGCTATTAATTCATGTGTATATCAAGCCAAAACATTATTTTTAGTTTTACTCTTATCTGTAGGTTTGTTAAAGAGCCTTCTCCCCCCACACACACACACACACACACACACACACACACTTCCCTCCCTGTCTTGGTTTCAACTGTGTCACCAGACAGGAAAAAATAATTTGCAACAAGGACACAGACAGAAATAAAAACCCAACTCTACCCCAAACTAAAAAGGGAAAAAAAAAAAAGAATTTGGCAGCATTTACAATACAAATATCTAAACCTACTGTCATATCAGACTGACTACAAAAAGCAAAAACGTATTTATCCTGAAATGTTTTTTCACAATGCAAAAAAGCAATTGCTGCAATCGTGATGTTCAGGTCATGAAATGGTTAATTCTGAGAGCAGTTTTTTCAGCATGCTGGATGATGTCACATGTGAGTGTTCGCTGTACATGGAAGAAATCATCAGCTTCAACATCTGCATTTGTTGTTTTTCCATCCTACAGGTATGGTGGACTCATCCATGATGCCAATTATGGGTTATCTGGTGGATCTACGCCACGTCTCGGTCTACGGCAGTGTCTACGCCATTGCAGATGTAGCCTTTTGTATGGGGTTTGCATTGGGTAAGCCTTGTATCATCATAGACGTCTCTAGCACACAGTACAGGTGACTAAAACCCAACAAATGCTTTTCTTATCGATATTAGATATTTGCACAGCAAACAGGCTGCGAGCTGAAGGCTGAAGCATCATTGCACACACATGTTCGCGTTCCCACAGGTGGAGATACCCAGCCACAATTGCCCCATATACTGATCCTCCTTTATCTGACCTTACAGGGCCATCTGCTGGGGGTGCTATAGCTAAATCTATCGGATTCCCATGGCTGATGACAATCATTGGAATCGTGGACATAGTATTCGCTCCCCTATGTCTATTCCTTAGAAGTCCTCCTGCCAAGGAAGAGAAGATGGTGAGTGCAGTCATACTTTCTTTCATTATATATTGTTTTTTGGATCCTTCTTAGACAATTCATTATTTCTCACTGCTGCCTAATAGAGATGCCAGACACTTTAATAGCAGCATAGTGTGATTCCAGACCTGTCTGCCATACCTTGTCCTGAAATTATAATCAGCGAGACAACTTCTTACTGCTAGGCCTTATAGGGGGAACGTGGACCTGTCAAAAACATGGACATTTAACAGAGCATATGATGTAAACATACTGGAGCCAAGGTAATCTGAGAACTGCATGGCAACACCATCAGCAGATCTACAGATAGTAGCAGCTAAGGCAAATGTCAACTTAACTGGTAAAAAAGCCAAGGTGGACCTCACTTCCAAGTCTACTGGTGTATTGGTTGGCTTTAAAGGTCTATTCACATTATGCTTTCCATTAACACAATGGGGTTGATTTACTAAAGGCAAATAGACAGTACACTCTCCAAGTGCAGTTGCTCCAGAGTTTATTTAATGAGTGGAAGCTTTTGTGACTTCAATCATGTGCAAGCAAAAATGCTGGTTTTTATTTTCCTTGCATGGGGTATTCTTTGTAAAGTGAAGTTTTGCCTTTTTTACTAAGCTCTAGCACAGGGGTCTCCAAACGTTCTAAACAAAAGACCACTTTACTGTGCTTCAAAGTTAGGAGGGCTGGAAGCAGAAAATGTCCTGGTGTCAGTGACAATGTCCCATCTTTGGTATTAGGAGAAATATTAATGCACCATCATTGGGAGGAATAGTGCCCCATCATTGATGCCAGTGGGAGGAATAGTGCCCCATCACTGACGTCAGTGGAAGGAAGAGTGCCCCATCATTGGTATCAGTGGGAGGAATAGTGCCCCATCCTTGGTGCATGTAGGAGGAATAGTGCCCCATCCTTGGTGCATGTAGGAGGAGTAGTGCCCAATCATTGGTGCATGTAGGAGGAATAGTGCCCCATCATTGGTGTAAGTGGAAGGAAGAGTGCCCCATCATTAGTGTCAGTGGGAGAATAGTGCCCCATCATTGGTGCTAGTGGGAGGAATAGTGCCCCATCATTGATGTTAGTAGGAGAAATGGTGCCCCATCATTGTGTCAGTGGGAGGAATAGTGCCCCATCATTGGTGCTAGTGGGAGGAATAATGCCCCATCATTGATGTTAGTAGGAGAATGGTGCCCCATCATAGTGTCAGTGGGAGGAATAATGCCCCACTGTTGATTATCAGTGCAGAAATTATTGCCTCATTGTTGGTGTCACTAAGACGAATAGTAACTCAAGGAAAAAATAAAGTTATGCAAAGGGCTGCAGTTTGGAGATCACTGCTCTAGAGCAACTGCACTTGCAAAGTGCACAGTCTATTGGCCGTTAGTAAATTAACCCCAATGTGCTCCAGGTGTATAAGGTGCACTCTATTAAGGTAAAGCACTTGGACAAGAAAAAAATGTACCTAAAGCATTTTCGACAACACGTGACACCACACATTATGTGCTTTGGGGCATGCCATACCACAGCTGTGTTGGCAGTTACTGTATAAGTGCATTGGGATGAAATTCCAAATGAATAAACAGCACAATTCACATCGTCTCAAGTGTTAAAATGCATTATGGTAACGATCCTTAATGGAGGATCTCATTGTAAATGGGCCCTTAGAATACAAGACAAAGTTTGCAAATAACTACATGTTTTTACCTGTGTAGGCGATCCTCATGGAGCAGAACTGTCCGGTGAAGAAGCGGATGTACACCCAGAACAGCACGCAGTCCTATTACGCTGCTGCGGAGGAGTCCGAGAGTGATGAATGAGTGCCAACTCCACATTCTGCAGCTAGTTGTTTCTACATTTCATTGTCGTATCATTGGTCTATCAGTGACATAGTAACAAGCCAAAGGTCTCGTGTTCTATCCCGGCGGAGCAGCGTCTATATTGAACGGAGAGCTGCGTACACACCTGGGGTAAGACTGAGGAGTCATTACACAGCATGTAGAACCGTACTGGTACAAGTAGTGTGCCGTAATCCAAAGCGGCCTGTGAAAGTGAACAGATCTGGTTACAATTTTAGATTTACCGGGGAAGGGTGATATAAAAATGTAATTCTCTGTTATATCTAAGACTCCATATATACATAGCCAGGGTTTGTAAGACCCTTCTGGAATTATCCATTGCTTGGTCCTCAGGTGTGACCAGGTTATGGCTGGATAGTGTATACACATACCCCTAGGGGGGGTCAGTGGTGACCAGTGGCCTTTGTGGAACACCAGAACCTCCCCTTAACTTTCAAGAATAAACCTGCCACACTTGCTCTCCGTGTGCGCTCTGCTCGATCCACGAATACAGCCACTTCTCGTCTACGCTCCCAATGTGACACATAAGAACTACACATTACCAACCGCCTTACCGAGTTTAAAGAGAAACAGACTTTTATAGACTCATTGCTATAAATATTGTTGAAAGATGTTATTTTATGTATTTAATTTTATTACATATTATGCAATATATTTTTAACTACTGTAATTGTAATGTAAATGTGTATAAAATCCGTAACGCCTGATCATATTTGTTATTCAGTCTTGAATGTGGTGTATGAGAGATGTAAAACTTGGCAAGGGGTGATATTTTGGCGAGGTAATAAGAGATAAGCTGCTGGTTGGCTGGTGTGTAGTTTTGGGATCAAACATGTTATGCAGATCTGGGTTATCCGTAAGTCAACCTAGCACCCGATGAAAATCTAGGGGGCCCAGCTCACTCCTTCATGCTCCTGCAGTAAAGATAGCAGATCCTGCACTTTGCAAAGCTGTGCACCTACCCGTCATTCACAAGAGAGGATGAACCTATAGGCAGTTGATGTCTGAGGGGGCCACTATAGACAATATAAAGGGGGTGGCTTCTGTGTCCTTCTGAAATCCTTCAGAATGTCAGTAAAATGGATATGGGGGGGCAAAAGTTGCTATGTTCCTCAGGTTCCCATTTTGCCTTAATCCATCTCTGTTGTTATTTATGATGTCATGATGGAGAGACAATTGCTACTATGAATGCATTTATAGCAACCAGCAAATGACTTCCATTTTAGTTTGTTCACCTAAAGCAGCTGAACCTGGACTTTCAAGCAGTTAGCATGGACTTCAGCACATTACTTAGTAGTATCAGGGGTAATGGAATGGTTTTTGAAATAAAGATTTTGCCTACTGTTACAGCGGCATCTATAACATTTCAGATTTGTCCATAACAGGAAGAGTGTGTGTGTGTGAGAAGAGGATCAAACCCTTCCTAGTTTATTTAGGCAACTTTCACACAGCTCTGTTGCAAAAACGCATATGCATTTTTGCCTTGTTTTCAGGGAGTTTTGCAAGTGTGAAAAAAAAGGGGGGCATGCGACTCCGAAAACGCAACTGCAGTTGTTTTTAATGCGTTTTCCATTTATTTCAATGGGGAGTTGTGGTTTTTTTGGGGTTTTTTTCACTGCACCAAACATGCACCAAGAATGCAGTATACAGGACTTTTAAAAACACAACTGACTGGTGTGGAGAGCCTCATAGAATTTAATGATCATGCATTTTTCTTCCGCTTTTGGTACTGTAAAAACGGGAAAAAAAACTGATCGGGTGAAAGGGGCCTTAAAACAGGAAATTTCAAGCACATTTACTTAAGTATTCATGTATACCAGACAAGCGACTCTCAGCTTTCTAACCAGGAGCGAATGACAAATCAATGCAACATGGGCGCATCTACAGCACCCTTGTGTAAACCATGCAAACGTCAGAACTGATATTAAATGAGTTCACATTTAGCAACATGTTACACCCATTCTTACTCTGGTCAAAGTACAATTTCCCCCTAAATTCTGGTGTCACCTTTTTAAAGGCCACAAGAGTCCAGAATTATCAAGTCATTTTTTTGATAATTTTTTGTTTTTGATATTGCAAAATGTTAATGTGTGAACTACCGAGTTTAATCATTTCCTGGCTCTGGCAATGTTCATTTCACACTCTTAAGGCCTTGCATTAATGGGCATTGAGCTTGTGTTGATTGATAAAAGTAGTGTGCTTGACATCAGTTTGAGATGCTTCTGCAAACATTCGAAATGTATTGTACGTGTAGTTGACTTGCTTCTGACTTGCTACAAGTTGCTTTTGCATTTCTTTGACTTGTGTGGGAAACTGTTCTGGCATGAACAAAACTTGGTGAATAATACTGGCCCTGCATCTGCCATTCTTGCGGGTCAGGAAGGAATATTTGTCCCCCACTGTCAGGATAAGTTCTCTTCTTGGCTGTTCTTCACCTTCTTCTGGATCAATAGAATTAAAATAGCTGGAACTTTTTCAAGCTATGTATATGTGTTGTACTAAAACTGACCCCATCCTTCAACCAAAAACCTGCATTGTGGAAGAGATTCCGATTGGTTGATTTGAGGAGAATGATCATAGGCCCTCCTAAAATTCAGTCAACTCAGCCTATTTCCAGAGAACACCATTCTGAGGAACCCAACTGGATCATCTTTGGCGAAAAGAATAGATTAGTGTACTTGATCAGTGAAGGGTAGGCAACGGTGGAGGCAAAATTCTTCAGCCTGCTCAGTGGAGACTGAAGTGGAAATAATACAGCAGTACAGTCATTCCCGAGGCCTGGGGCTTCTTGTGCAAGCTGCAACAGTCTTGGGCCATCAGTCGTCTACTGTTAACCATGATTGACCAATCAATATCTGTCCAGCCATGTGTCCACTTAATACTAAATCAAGAGGATGTTTTCTTTCCTGCAGCTCAGATATCTTTTATAGGAGACCCGGCTGCACAAAAACTGTTTTATATACATAAACATGGAATGTGAACTTAAAGGCAACTTGTTCTGTTGGTTTTGGTATGGCAATATTTTTCTTCATTTTCTTTTCACTTTTTAACACTGCCATTTAGGAATCAGATTTAACAAAAAAACAAAATAAAAAATAGAAGATCGCCAATTGTCTTCCAGATTAAACTCTCCTTATATGATAAGATCACAAAACACCTACTACCTGAATGCTGAAAACACAACAGTATTTCGGGGGTAATCTGCTTCAACCAAGAATGTGCTTACTACAGAACCAACAAGACTATTTTCTCTTAGCAGATCTTACATATCTTCCAGTTTCAACTAACTGGTTACATTTTGCTGCCAATTTCAGTGACTAAAGAACTCAAGAGAGAACACAGTATTTAACCAAAAAATTCCTCCATATCAAGTGGATATCTTACCCTTATGGGTAAGAAGATAAAACACTGCAACTCTAAGCAACATCTAAACATTAGAGTGGAATGTCTGTAAAAGAAATAGCTAACATTCAGTTAGACTTGTACTGTTGAAGATTTTCACCTACTCATCCAAGCCATTAGTCCACCATTTTTGCTGCTATGAACCAAGAATAACAACAAAATAGAGAAACATCCCAGAGGATGAAACACTACAAAAGACAAAAAAAGACAAGCGAGAAAGAAAACTTCAGATAGAGCCTTCCCAGCTGGAGAAGTCTTAGCCAAGGGACTGAACTTCACTGTGTCACCCCAACATATCGCTCTGGTGGGTTACATCCCCACTATAGAATATTTCAACCATATCAATCGCATATCTGGAGTGGAGATTTAACAACTCCAACTGCCTGGGAGTCTCCGCTGTCCTTTCCACAACACCTTTTCCAGCGTGACTTCACTAGAAAGGAAGTCCCTTAAATCACTGAATAGAGATCCAAACAGATTCATCCTGCCAGTGGACAAAGGTGAGCTGCACTGTGGTAATGAATAGATCCAGTTATCATACTGAGGGGTCAGACACGCCAATACTAATGTGTCACTAAAGAGGGACCTTCCACTGTTAATGAAGATGGGGAAACTGTCTACAACACTTGGAAATGTGCTGTAGACACTCAACAAACTGTATCTTGTACCAGCAACCCTATTGGGGAAGCTATACCATGCCTATGATGACTTCCTAAGATATTGTTTTAAATTTTTGGAAAGAGTAGGGGAGAGTAAGGGAAATTTATAACCCCTGTCATTTTTTTTGCCATCTGTGTCCCAGTAGGGAGGTTTACCTTCACTTCCTGCCCCATTGCCAAAACAGGAAGTGAGAGGAAATCCCTGCAAATCCCTTGGGGCCCCTCCAGGTCACCAGAATTATTGTTGCTATTAGAATATTCCCCCACTAATACTGTTCTGGAGAGACATCCCAAAATTTGGAATTTTCTTTTACTTTCACTTTCAATGATAACAATAAACAAGACAAATAGAGAGGGTGATGATATGTGGCTAGTCCTAGAAGCGCTCCCCTTTTCTTTTAGATTGAATTCACCAGTCTATGAATAATACTGGGTGCAGCAGCTGACTACTAAGGAGCCCAACTTAAGCTTTTGAAGAATTTGTATATGGACTAATGGTCATTGATTTTGAAAGATTGTTGGAATATCTCAGATTGATTCTCCTCTCTCGCTCCCTTACATTGGATTATACCATGTAGGGTGTGTGTAGTTCAATTACAATATAGAACCTTTAGTAAATAGAAAGGGTGAATCTCCCTAACAGGGGCAAAGACAACACTAAAAACCTAGTAGGTGTTCTAATCCGTCTCTACTCTATCCAAAGTTTACTTTCAAGTTGGAAATTTATCTCAGCTGACTGTACTCTGAAATATATTTTCTGGAATCCCCAGCTGCATTTTTAAGGATTCTGATTTTTGTGCACTGAGCAAGTTCAAAAGTAAATTCAACCTTAATAAAGAGCAATTTAGATGGAGTATACCTTTATGGAGATTTTCTGTGGAAATTGCTCCTCGCTCTCCA